TCGCTAACAATGACATTATTGTTCTATTAATATAAAGGGAGGTCAGGTACTCTTTAAAACAGCTGCTAGTTATGGGTACTTTTTACTGAAGTACATTTCAAAGCCTCTTTACTTTGACTTGAGTAAAGAAGTTTAGTCAGCACTTCTACTTTCACCAGAGTATTTGTAAACACGAGTATCTGTACTTCTCCTTGAGTAAAGGATGTGTGTACTTTGCCCTCTCTGCTCTCCAGAACCATCATTGCTTCAGATGCTCTCTGCGCTGAACGACCTGATTTCTGAACGACATGCTGGTCTGATCTCTCTCTCTGAATGTAATGTGTAGAGCCAATGGTCTTTGGTGCAGTAATCTATGGAGGCCCTGAGTGTCAGCAACACATTTTTCTGTCCCACACACACACACACACACACACACACACACACACACACACACACACACACACACACCCACACACACACACACACAGGCAGCATCATTGACACCTCAGAGCTAAATATACCGCGAGCGACAACGACAGGTGAGCGGCCTTCANAAATTGATTATTTTTGTAAACTCAAGTGGATTAAACTACATTTATTAGTGATCCTCACGATCATTTAATGTATCATATGTTCGCCGAATTGACATGAAAGCACTAATAAATGTAGTTTAATCCACTTGAGTTTACAAAAATAATCAATTTGTTTTTATATCACATCCGACGGGAGGAAATTCAGCAGCTCTCACTACCGATTTGTAATCCTAATTTAATCATCATCTTCACCACGATCATGTATGTTTATGTTCGCCGAATTGACATGAAAGCACTGACATATATGAATATACTGTAATCAACTTCATTAAAACGTTATTAACGTGCCTAAACTCAGTAATTCACCCGCATGACAACACACTTTGTCCGTGTTTGGCTCTCTCGCCGCACAGTGAAGCGTTCCCGCATTGACGTCACTTCCGGCTTCCCCCAAAACCCTCAAAATGAGTCGAAGGAATTTTCCCGCGATGTTCGAAATTATTGATATTTATCGGAACGGTATCGCTTTTTCTTTTTTAAACTGACGGTTCGAGATTACTAGTAGCCCACTATTTCATTGCACAACAGTTGTTGGGTTCGTGTCACAGGCACTTTAAGTACGTTGTTCAAGGATGCTTTGAAGGATTTTGTTCTTCACATTTTTCTCAAACGTTTTTTAAAGAAGACTTTAAAAAACAGATTAGAATTGAGTGTATAAGTCCCTCTTTGTGAGAAAGTGTGTCCTCTAGTGGCTGTAGCACCTCAAGGAGCAAATCCAAATGCAAGCAAAATAAAAATAAATGTATTTAAATTAAATCAGGGTAAATATTATGCGTACTTTTTCTATTTTATCTGTTGTTTTTCAGGTCTGCTCGTTTTCATCTGTGTCTATGTTGTTGTCAGCGACGTATGTCTTATCTTTTGAAATGCCTTTGTGATGTGCTGCAACCCATTTCCCGCTCGGGGACAAATAAACAAATACTACTTCATCTTCATAAAAAAAAAACACAGACCCGTTAGAGCTCGAATAGCTTTTATTTTGTTCATAAAAAGCAAAAAATAAACAACAATTGATGAAAAATACTGCATTTTTTGAGGCACAATAACAGTTACCTTGACACAACAGAGTAAAATAAACTTTGCATCGTATTTTACATGCGTAGAAATATTTGTTTTGTTTTTTTAAAGCACAAATGCATTGACGATCTGCTTTGAAAAGGTGCAAGCTCTTCTCAGCCATGTTCTGTGACTATAAATTCAAATCAGATTTCACAGCATTACGGTCAAAGTTAAGCAAAAAGATTGCACAAACAGAAATGTATCAGCGAAAGCTCACAGTAGCATGACGCAGAACATGAATGGCTGTTGTAGTATTCTGCAATAATGCATTAAAGTAATCCTCATGCATGGCAGAAGTACTATCAGCCAGCAGCATTTTTAAACCCAGTGACGCTCACAAACAGGAATCATAAGGCACCTGCATCTACCTTCACAACACTGCAGAATTAATCAGTGCAACAATAAGCTGTAAAGACACACTCAAGCACATCATGAAATATATTCAGACTCCAATTCTAGAAAGGTACATCGTCCTCTCTTTCTCGTATTGCACATAATCCTTCTGCTGATGAGAATTTAAAACAAGCTTTTGGTTTGAATCAGAGGATAGTTCAGCGACGTGTTGACAGGCAATACATTAGATATTTGAAAGCAGTGTCCAGACTACTGCAGGTCAATGGCTGCATGTTGTGGTTTCAACAGCCTTTGTGTGTGTGTTTTGACCTGACTCACTCCAGAGTATCAGTTCGTATGTTCTGACATACAGAGAGCTTGTTTTGTCTCTGTACTCCAGCACATTATGGCATGAAACAATGACTCAGAGGTTAAAGTGATGAATCTGAACTTTGATTTCAGTGTGTTTGCAACCAAATCAGATTGACAGTTTAAAATTGACGCCTCAAGAAAAAAAAGAAAAAAAAAGGTCCTTGAGTCTTTTCACCCAAAACAAATATGATAATTAAAATGTTAACCAGTTATCATCCATTTTATTGGTTGTCTTCTTTTATATAAGGTTTTTAATTCCAATTGAATGTCATTTTATAATGTGATTGTCTTGCACCTCATCCCACTGCTTTTTATGGTTAATCTAAAGCATTTTTTCATTGCTGAAATGTGCCTTTGAAAATAAACGTGCCTTGCCTTTCTTTAACCTCCACTGTCCTGGAGTACAGAGCTACACATCATCACTTCCCTAAAACATAAAGACTGTACAGAGTACCAGCTTGAGACTTTAACAGCAAATAAAACCAACAATTAAATAAAAACGTCTGATTCAAAACATCCAGCTGATGGTGAAGTTCTGACTGAGGTTGAGACCGAGATCTGCAACTGTTAACACCTGCAGAGAGAAAACACAACAAGTCAGCCTGAAGAGCTTCTTACTGATATAACAGCCTACTGCATGACAACATGATAACCTCACTTACTGTATCTATGTGCACTCTGCACTTTGTATTCAAACTGTGGTTGAAAATAACTTAGTACATGTACACGAGTGCTGCACTTCATTGACAAAAACTGTATTTTTACCACGCAAAACATACAGTAGGAGTTTCTGGTCAAACGCTGCCTTGATCGGTTAGTTTTATGTTATTGTGTTTGGATTCACCAAAAGTCACACAATACCCGAAACAAACTAACCAGTCAAGGCAGCGTTTGACCAGCAACCCCCTTTTCCTGTTAGGTTCAATTATAGCTTGTTATCAAAGGAGTCTGAAGAGAACATAGATAGATATAACAGCTTAAAAAGGTAAGTTTGGCGCCAGGGGTAAAGCAATGAAAATATAGCATACATTTTAAACTGATATTGATTTTTGTAAGCCCTCATCCGTGGCAGTACATTGCTCAGCTTCTGTGTTGGTACTTCGGTGTGCCATATTACATTTCCTTACATTAAATCATAATTTAAAAGTAAAGTCACACTTCAAATGGTTTGGCTTATTTAAAGCTAATGTACTTTTTCTGTTCTGAATTTGTGACCTCGTGGTTGATAACACTTATTGAATGTTGATTAAAGTGTTGTTGCTAATACGCTTGACTATAAGCACCTCATATAACCCCACTTTATACAATCAGAACTGTCCTCTTAAAGCTCAAGAGACCCAGCAATGATAGTTTCCAACCCTGCGCTCCTCACCTGGTTGTCTCTGTAGGTGAACGTTGCATCTTGGGAGTTCACCGTCACTCTGCTCGGTTTCTGCTTCACGCCGTAGAAGGAGGCCGTCTCCACGGTGATGTAGGTTGCCTCCACGTTGCTATGCAGAACCTGTGACGTCATCACGTTCTATAAAATAGACGGATGAATTTTTGTTTCATAGCATAGTTTTTTAATGACATGTAAACATTCTCTGTTATGATAAATATTAGGGGAAACGCTTTGAAAAGTGGGCTGATGAACACTTGCTCCCTTATTAAGAAGTTCAGTGTAGTCAAGGTCTTAAAATTGTATTTCATTTCATAGTGATTAACCCACTAAGAATTGTTTACCTGAGTTCAATGGAGCATGCTAGTTTCCCACAACTTTATTGTTTTGGTTCATTCTCTCCACTCTTATCAATTTCCATTCTAAGGCAGACGTAGTTGTGTGTGATCACCTGAGCGACGCTGAACAGGATGTAGGAGTACAGGTTGTTCTCGTAGGTGTCGATGGTCTCTCCGTCGTCCCAGAACAGATCCCCGCTGGCCGCTCCGCCCTCAGAGAGCGCCGTCACCAGGTGGAGCGGCTGCCCGCTGCTCACCCACAGCGTCAGGTTGGGCGCCTGATCAAACAAGATGGAAGATAAATACATAGGAAATGAATGATTGTACAGTGTGCGTTCATTAGAGACACTAAAAAACAGATGCTTGATAATATTAATGGATTTAACGTAGATATTAAATTACTGCAAAATTGTTTTCGTTTGAATATCTCCAGAAAAATAGATATATTATAATATATCTTTGTTCACACCCATTGCATGCCAGCCTTTATTTTTTCCTGGTAGAGGATTTTCTGTTTCTTTCAGATCTCTAGTTTTTCTTGAGTGGAACATTTTGTATTTTCTTTGAATGTATATATTTTGTATTTAAATCGTTTATTTGGCAGGGACAATGCACAGTAATGAACACTTAAAAACATTCAAATGTATCAAACAGTGCCAGGTTTAGCTTTGAGCTCATTTCCATCCGCAGTCCCTCACATAAAACATATAAGAAGTTTACATTTTACAAACATAGAACGCAGTCCATGTAAACATTTATAAAGAAAACACACACTTTTAAAAGACTAACAATTGTCAAAACTCAAGAAATTGTGTTTTTCAAGGATGGTACAGTGGTGGTATATCTAAAATGTATTATCTGTTTTTTTTTAAATTGGTTGCAAGTATATTCAGCCATCTTAATTTGAATGTTAGGTGGGTTCCTTTAACATGCCATCGTATTTTTTATTTTCTTCATCTCACTTATTATTTATGGCATTGTATACGATATTTGCACATATAATAATTGAAATGCTGAAAAATATAATAACAAAAATGTGGCCATTATGCTGGCAACTCTATGCACTGAAAATCTCCAAAGGAAGTGATCGACTTTGTCTGACATTGTACAGTGTAGTAGAGGGACCTTTAAGTGCGGAAATATATTATCATTAAAAAAACTGCAGTGTAATTTGAACCACAAATCTTTTCCACCTGTGTTGGAGTAATGGAGCCCTCACGCAGATGCAGGTTGATCTTATCCAGAGGAGCGTTCAGTCGAAGGTCTTCCCCCTGACTGTGCAGAGAGTCGCCCTGAGGAGGGTCACATGTGGACAGAAGAGGATTGTTTACACCGTGTTGTTCCTGAATCATACTACACCGTGTACTCTGTGTGTGTCTTACCGTGTAGTAGTCATACCACAGACCCTCTGGGAAGTATCCGTCCACATAGTCCACTTCAGGATCCAGCACTGGTGTCACCAACAAACTCTTCCCCCACAGGAACTGTTTGTCGATCCCGTAGGTTTTCACATCTTTTGGAAACCTTTGGAGTGCACAGGAAACAAACAGTGAGAAAAAAACATCCTAATCCATCCAAAATAATAAATACAATACTTTTGAACTTTCATTTAAATACCATGTTTACTATGTTGAGAACAAAAAGATCCAGAAATGGCTTCATTTACTGCTACAAGCTTGCGTTAAAAACTATTTTACCAATATCCAATTATGCTGATGTTGGCTATCATGCTGCATCCAAAACTAATCTCCAAATAGAGCATGCATATTTATTCTTGGCTGTGCTTTAAATTATCCATCATTGTATAATGTATGACACTTTAATTTGCCGTCCCACCTCAAAAGGAGCAGTGATATTGCGGTTCACTTTTATATATCACAACATGGTACATACATCCACGTTTTTATCCTAATAAGCAAGTTCTGATACGTACTCAAACATGAGCGGCCGTGCGACAGTGTGTCCGTGAACATGTGCGTGATGGAAGAGTGTGTAGAGGACGGGGAAGAGAGAGTATCGCAGCAGCAGAGCCTGCTTCATCGCTGTCCGAGCCAGAGGGCTGAACGCTGTGGGGTCCTGAGGCTGAAGAGAAAAAAAAGAAATGTGTTACAGGACATTTCTATAAAGAACTGAAGGACAGAACAGCTTTTGTGCTTTGTGGTTATCGTCTGACCCGCATGTCGATGGCGTTGTGGTTGCGTGTGAAGGGGTAGAAAGCTCCCAGCTGCGTCCAGCGGACACACAGCTCCTCCTGCGGCTCCTCGCTGAAACCACAGATATCTGCCCCCACCAGAGGGATGCCCAGGAGGTTAAAGGTCAACATACCTGAGGGAGAGAACACAGAGAGGTGGACAACTCTAAACAGGCACTAACATGACAGAGACACGTTTAACCATGCTTAAAAAAAACATGGTGGTGGGGTTACTCTTCCTCATAACCGTCCTGTAGTTTACAGAATAAGCGTAAAGTAGCGTGTGCAATGAAACATTTGAAAACATATGTTTTTTAGAATAAATCTTGAAATTAGTAGTTATACCACAACATATGTATCATAAAATCGTATAAATATATTCAAAATTGCAAACTAGTTTGCATTTGATGCACAATATGACAATGATTAGGCTGACTCACTTTAAATTGATTTTCATTATTATTGGTCACTTTTGCTCATGCCTTAGCAAAGAAATCACACACCTTCAGAGACATTACATTACATGTTACTTGTTAGACGCTTTTATCCGAAGCAACTTACATACTCAATACTGTGGGCAATCCCCACAGGAGCAATTTGGGGTGAAGTGTCTTGGCCAGGGACACAACGGGTGTTTCTCAATGTCGAGTAAAACTGCTGCAGAGCCACTATTTCAAGCATAATACGTCATCAAGTCCCACCGAAGTACTGTTCCAATGTCCAGCATACTTGGAATTCTACCGAGCCCGGCGTACTTCATAGCGAGAAATTTCGAGGCTGCACATGTGTAGACTCCACGGTCTTAAAATCCGCACAATGCTTTGCGCACGGACCAATTTCCCCAAATCTGTGGCGGAAAATGTAAGGCGGGGCGGGGCCTCTCATATGACCCACGCCTGTTCCACTCTTCATTTTCCGAATGCCAGGAAGTATGTGACTCGGAAGACATGTGCTACCAAGCAAGCGTACTCGACATTGAGAAACACCCAACGACATGCTGACTGCAGTGGGGTTTGAACCTGTACTCCCCTGATCCCAACACCAACGCACTAATCCACTGCACCACACACCTCCCATGAAACATGAGCAACATGTGCGTTATTTGGAAGAATGTTTTCGTCCGCTGACTTACTTTTGATCTACCCAATTTCTGAAAAATTGTAAAAAGTCTGAATATGTATACTGTCAACAAACAGCCCTTTTTATATATAGAAGTAACCCTTTTGTCTATTTCGATCAAACCAAACTAATATTTCCTAGAAGAAGCTTGGATAAACACAATGTTAATATCAGATTAATGCAGAATAAACACTTATACTGTATGTGTGTATATTCTTAAATGCTTTAATAATCACCTCTCGGCTGCCAGTTGAAAATACAATATGTTTTTTCTATACCACCAAACTTCTAATTGTATAGATTTCCTTAAAAACGTGATTTTCATAACTGTTGAAATGTGTAATGCATGTGTCTAACCTGCTATAGAAGTGTACATGTCTTTCCACTGGCTCCTGTTGTCTCCCAGCCAGTGACCGGAGTACATGCCCTGAGAGGGGAAGGTGGAGCGAGAGATCACAAACGGTCTCTTCGCCACGATCCGCTTCATGGCGCTGGACAAGAGGACACAAAACATGAAAAAACAATAAGAAGATGTACATAAATTATGTTCAAGATCTTTTATGTGTGTGTTATGGGTCTTTACCTTGCAGACGCCTTAGCTTCCATGAGTCCATAGAGGCTGTGCATATTGTAGTGAATGGACTGCTTCTGCTGGGCAGTGGCACACAAAGTTTTGGCTCGGAGCAAACCTCCTAGTATACCTAAAAATAAGACAAATACCATTTTGAATTTGACCATTATATGTACTCTGTAATGTTGTATATGTCAGGTTTGTTTAGATGTGTGCTTGAGATCCCACCAGGTGTGTAAGGAGGATTCTCCAGACTGTTTGAAGGACAGCCATTAGTAGATCCATCCACGAAATTTGACGGCTCATTCATGTCCTAAACACGGATGAGACAGAGGTCAAAGAGAAGATATAAGGAAGTTCAGAGAGTCCCTTTTTAAATAATGGCTGACATTTCTATACTTACAATCCATAACCCATCAAATGGCACCTTCTCATGGAACCTCAGAAGGTTTTCGTACCACCATTCATGAGTCACTTCATTCGAGAAATCAGGATAAGCTGTGAGACCCGGCCACACCTGGAGCAAGAGAGGGAAGGTCTTATTTCTAATATACTCAGTCTCACACCTTCCAGTTCAAGGACTTTTCAAAGACCTTTAAAGCCCAATTTCTTCAAATGCAAGGGTCCAAAGTGACAAAGTGTAAGACATATAAAAAGTGAAATAATTTTTTTTAGCTTGTTAGTAACAATTCACATATAGCCTAAGAAGCCTTCTGTGGTTAAAAAATAACGGCGTTGGATGATAGCCTGCAGACAGAGTAGAATAAAATCACTTTTCTACATGTTAACGTGTTTCTGCTTGTTTAAGGTGTATTGGAAAAGTATTCTCTGAACTCACTACGGTCTTATTGCTCTTACAGTAACAAGTCACTTTTATTCTTATATTAAAGTGGACCTATCATGCTATATTGGAAACATATATTGTAGGGCCATACCTATATAAAACATGTCTGTGAAGTCTTTTTTTCAAAATACCAAACAGATCATGCATTTTAGCCATGCCTCATTTCGCTCTATTTGCTCTTTTCCAGCCCTGTTTTTGCAAGGGCTGATTCTGCTTTTGTGGCAGACTGCAGCGCCACTTACAGGCCTGGCATATGTACTGCAGCGTCTCCAGCGCTTTCGAGCGGTCTCTCATTCCCCTGATAGGTGGAGAGTTGCCCATATAGGCGGAGCACCCCTTTTCTGACGTCAGAACAATTCAAATAATAATCAGCTCCGTTGCAGTCCCGTTTTTAGAGATTTGGGTATGAAGGAAAAGAGAGGGTTGTGTTTTCTGACACTTGGTGAGTTCCCTGACACACCGGGGACACATATTCATGTATAAAAGACGTACAAAAGTGCATTTTGCATGATAGGTCCCCTTTAAATCAAAGAAAAAAAACATTCAAGGTCTTGATTTTTTCTCCTGAACTTCATAAAATGTTAATGAATTTAAGAACCCATGGGAACCTTGAAAGGCGAGAGTTAAATTGTGTCATGGGACGTTGTTGGTGAAACATTATTACAGTGTCTCACCTTCCCGATGAGTGTCTTTCCTTCGGCGTCTTTAATAAAGACGTCTCTCTTCAGCCCCTCGTCGTACGGCCAGTAAGATCCCTCAGGCTGAGAGCTGCTGATCCCGGGGTCCTGCAGGGGGGTGGGGGTGGGCACAGCTATTAAACAAATACACCACAACAGACAAAGTACACAGACTGAAGAGCAAATACAAACTCATGTGTACCAGAATCATGACGTAGCGCTGGTCATGAACATGCAAATCTTTCACCATGTCGGGCAGTGTGCCGAACGTTTTGGAGTCAAAGGTGAAGTCCATGAACTGATCCATGTAGTCGATGTCGTTCCACTGGACGTCCTGTGAACAAATCCACACCAAGAACAATTACTTACACAGAAGAACGAACAGAAAATACTGACATAAACACAAACAGACTTCTGGGTAATCCTAACCTGGGGTATTTTATAATTCCTCAGGCTCTTGACCATCTCCCAGGTGGAGTCGCTCGTGTTGTAGCCCCAGCGACAGAGATGGTAGCCTAAAGCCCAGTAGATGGGCATCGCTGGGTAACCTGAGGAAACATGGAGGGTGGAGAGAGAGAGTAGTTTGCTTATGTTCCGAATGTAGCAGTTTGTTTAAATGGATGTATTTGTGTATGGATGTTGCAACTATAACGAGCTTTAGCAATACTGTATGTAATTATGGTCGTGTTAATAAAGCTATTGAATTGAATTGAGTAGTGAGGACATCAAGAGTAAAATAAGTGTTTCACTAATTTCTTTAGATTGAACTGCCGTACACTTTATATTAAACAATATCAAAATGAAGAATGACTAAAAGATGACATCACAAATCAGTGTTTTCTGTCATGTTCATATTTTTCTTGCAAACAAAATGCACAGTAGCTACTCTACAGAAATACGTTTTCGTTGCAAGCCAATCTGTTCATATCGGTGTACCCGTGGGTCTGTCTCTTGATACTATTTGTACACACTGTAGGACATGCTAGAGTCATGCAGCTACTGTAAACAGTCCCACATCATCAAGCCAAGTATTTTAGCAAATATTTTAACTGAAGAATTCTCACTTGAACCTGGTCTGATCTCCTGGATCGTTGACTTCCTCCGCTGTAGAACTCAGCATGTCAAAATAGGCATGGCACTTTCTGACACAATAAGTACCTGGATAGGCTCACCCGAGATGTGTCTTATCCTCTCTTTTATTTATTTTATACACCAACTCCTGCATCAGCACTTTTCCCAATACCGAGGCGATAAATTTTCTCATCCCAACCCGCTATCACGATAAGAATTTTAGTTACAAGGTAAGGAGAACAAAAACACAAATCTTCGTCCAACTAAGAGTGTGGTCAATTATTTTCTTCAGTTCTGTCCGGGCGTACGAGTAGAAGGAGTAAGTTTACCTCCGACTGGTCCCGGCATTAGTAGCCGTATGAATA